AGGCGGTGCTCCTGCTCTCGATTGACGGGAAGCGGAGAGGGCGGGCCCTCGAGTTCCGGGGTTCCTCGTTGGGGAGCCACGTGCAAGAGGCACACGTGGAGCGGAGACGTGAGGCCGGCTGAGGGCCCGACTCCCGCCCCGCCCCGCTGAGATCTGGGTGAAGCTGGGCTGACTCACCGCACCCGCCTGCCTCCTTTTCCTGTCCGCCTGCCCGGGTTCCCCCTCCTCCCCATCACCAAAGCCGAGTAAGATGGGGCCATCCCTGACCTTGCTTGGCCTCCTGTTTACACTCCTCAGAGGGACCTCACATACAGCCACCCTTCTCCTCACTCCTTTCCTCTTTATTCTTTTTGCACCTACTCACTGCACTGCCTTTAGACTCAGCTTCTCCGTATTCCAAGTTCTTTCTGTTCCCCAAGCATCTCTTTCCTTAGTCCTGCAAACATTGTCTTACTCCCCTCCCCACCAGACAAGCAGCAGTTTGCTTCCTAAGGACTTCCCCAAAACAAGGATATTAAGTCTCATCTTTTTGTTTGTTTTACAGAAAGGAAAACAGACTTAGAGAAGGGACTTGATTTTCTCTAGATCACAAATCAATTTGGTGGCGATAGATCTAGAACTAGACTCTTGAATGTGCCCCCTCACTTCCAGGTTAGAAGGAAGTCTTTTTAGAGAGTCTTAACTCCTCTTTGGGGGATGGGTGAACTAGGTCAGGTTCATTTACCACCAACTAAATGCCCCATCCTCCCCCCCCCCCATCAGCCTTGAAACTGTAGGAGCTGATCTGTTGTGCAACTATTTTACAGGGAGCTGGGTTCACCCTGGCCAACCTTGAGCTATTTTAGGGTTGCCCTGCCCAGCTTAGTGTGTGTCAGTGGGTGAGCAAGACATGTGCCTCTGGAGACACAGTAGCATAGCCTGTGTTGGCTCACGTGTCCTGGGATCCTCCCTTCTCTCACCCCGCCCATGGCCAGCCAAACTAGGTGCTTGGCAAAGGTGTGGCAGGCAGGTCACCTTTTTCTCCTGCTGATACCACGGGAACACAGCCACCTGGTTAGCAACGTAATCAGATGTCCAAAGTCCTGGAGTGGCCAGAGAGCCAAGGTCATTGTCACCAGGCTGAGAGATCTGGAAGGGGGAATTCCGAAGCCTTAGGCAGGACAATTTGTCCTTCACATCCACCTCCTGCAATTTGCACTGCTCTTTCCTGGACTTAGACTAGGGCTATCGGAGGCCAGGGGGACCAGACTGGGCAGGTTTGGTGCCTTCCGTACCTTCGGAGAATACATCTTCCAGTTTGGGGGGAATGTGACTTTAAATCTTCACATTCCCCCACTCTCCTCACTGTTGGCCAGCTGCCCCTCCATGGCCTCATCCCTGGATGGTCTGTTAAAATCGGCAGCTGTTTATTTTGGAAGACTGGGCCTTCTGAATGGGTCTCAGCTGCTCATCCCATCCTTAAGGTCTGCCACCCACAAGTCATTAGCTGCAGTCAGCATTTCCAAGGAAGGCTTCAGGGCAGGGGTGGGGGGCACATGTGTGAGATGCCCACGGGGGTCGTGCTTCTAGGGAGGTGCCTCACACCCAAGGCAGAAGCTGAGTGTACCCCGCAAAGGGTCGTGGTGGCTGATGGGCTATGCCATATGTAGTATGTGTTGGGGGTTGCCTATGGTGGCTGTTCTGGGTGCCACATGTTTAACTTCTGGCTTGGGGGAGGCAAGGAGGTGATGAGCAGGGTGGTGCCCTAAGGCCATAGACATATGGCAGCTGACATCCCCTCCCCTTGTGTTCTACTGCCAGGTGGCGTCATCACCTACATCGGTTCCAGTGGCTCTTCCCCGAGCCGCACCAGCCCCGAGTCCCTCTACAGTGACAGCTCGAATGGAAGCTTCCAGTCCCTGACCCAAGGCTGCCCCACCTACTTCCCACCATCACCCACTGGCTCCCTCACCCAGGACCCAGCTCGCTCCTTTGGGAGCATTCCACCCAGCTTGAGTGATGATGGCTCTCCCTCTTCATCTTCTTCATCCTCCTCCTCCTCCTTCTATAATGGGAGCCCCCCAGGGGGTCTACAAGTGGCCCTGGAGGACAGCAGCCGAGTGTCCCCCAGCAAGAGCACCAGCAGCATCACCAGTGAGTACATTTCCAGATGGTCCGGGGAACGGAAGGTGGCAGACCGAGGTTGGGAGTTGGTGTCCATGTGCAAGTTATTCCCAGAGCCTGCCCTGGCCTCGGAGACTTCTCCTAGAGTTGCATCAGCTGCTGTTGAGCCCAGTCTGGTCATTTGAGTGCTCCCTGGATACTGGGGCTCCTCCTTAGTTTCCCCCCCCAGAATCTCCAGCCCAGAAAACCTTCACCTCTGACCACTCAGACATTCCTCTTGCTCACCTGCTGCCCCTCTCTTCCCACAGAGCTCAATGGCATGGTGCTACTGTGTAAAGTCTGTGGGGACGTGGCCTCGGGCTTCCACTACGGTGTGCATGCCTGTGAGGGCTGTAAGGTGAGGCAGGTCGGGGGTGAGGACAGGGGCAGGTGACGCCCTCCCCCGGGACTCATAGGCCTGGCCTAGATGGAGATGCTCACTAGCTGCCCCTGCCTTCTAGGGCTTTTTCCGTCGGAGCATCCAGCAGAACATCCAGTACAAAAGGTGTCTGAAAAATGAGAGCTGCTCCATCGTCCGCATAAATCGCAACCGCTGCCAGCAGTGTCGCTTCAAAAAGTGTCTCTCCGTGGGCATGTCCAGAGATGGTGAGGCAGCACTGTTGCCCCTCGAGCATTCCCCTTCCGTTTCCGGATTAACCCCTCCCTGTAAAAAGTCCCAAACTGAGACACATTATACCGGGAGTCTCATTTGCCTAGGGGATGCCCATACTTCATCCTCTTGGGTAAACACAGATCTTTCCCATTAGTCCCTCTGGTCACCTCCTACCGACATCCCTACTTGGAAAACCCCCTCCATGGGTGTGGCCTTGCTGGTTTTAGTTTTGATGGAACCCCCAGCCCTCAGGGTCTTGCCCTTTCAGGAGAAAGGAAGGAAGAGAAGCATGTGAGTGTGTATGAAAACTTCCTGACACTGCTCTCATCCTGTCACAGCTGTGCGTTTTGGGCGCATACCCAAACGGGAGAAGCAGCGGATGCTCGCTGAGATGCAAAGCGCCATGAACCTGGCCAACAACCAGTTGAGCAGCCAGTGCCCAATGGAGACCTCGCCCGTCCAGCACCCAACCCCAGGCCCCGTGGGTCCCTCACCACCCCCCGCTCCAGCCCCCTCACCCCTGGTGGGCTTCTCCCAGTTCCCACAACAGCTGACACCTCCCCGATCTCCAAGTCCTGAGCCCACAGTGGAAGATGTGATATCCCAGGTGGCCCGGGCCCACCGAGAGATCTTCACCTATGCCCATGACAAGCTGAGCTCACCTGGCAACTTTAATGCCAACCATGTATCAGCCAACCCTCCGGCCACCACCCCACATCGCTGGGAAAGTCAAGGCTGCTCGCCTGTTCCCAATGACAACAACATCATGGCCGCGCAACGTCATAACGAGGCCCTGAATGGTTTACACCAGCCTCCCTCCTACCCTCCTGCCTGGCCCCCTGGCCCTGCCCAGCACAGCTGCCACCAGCCCAACAGCAATGGGCACCGTCTATGCCCCACCCACGTGTACCCAGCCCCAGAAGGCGAAGCACCTGCCAACAGTCCATGGCAGGGCAACTCCAAGAACGTTCTGCTGGTGAGGGCACCTGGGGTGAAGTGGGCAGGGGGCCTGCAAGACTGGATTTAGCATAGGGCAGCTGGGTGTGCCCGGAGGCTAACACAAGAATATCCTCTTCCCTGGGGGGGATGCTCAGGCCTGTAGCAAGGGCTCTGCCTGGGGAATCCCTGATCTCCACCTGGCACCTGAGTTCTACTTTACCTGAAAGACCCCTCCTCCCGGGCCACAGCCTCTCACCCAGCCCAAATCATGGGCCCAAACCTGTGGGGTGGGGAGCTCATCTGAGCTAGCCTGGCTGATGCTCCCCTCCCCAAATCCCTTCCTCCTCCAGGCGTGTCCAATGAACATGTACCCACATGGATGCAGTGGGCGAACCGTGCAAGAGATCTGGGAGGATTTCTCCATGAGTTTCACACCCGCTGTGCGGGAGGTGGTAGAGTTTGCCAAGCACATCCCGGGCTTCCGTGACCTTTCTCAGCACGACCAGGTCACTCTGCTGAAGGCTGGCACCTTTGAGGTGAGTGACCCTTTGTGCTCCCCACTCTTGACCTTGGGAAGCACCCCGCAGGAAATTTGGCATCTGGGGCAGGCAGTGTCACTGAAAGGTTTTGGAACCCCAGTACCTTTGTCCTTAGACTCTGACTGAGGAGGGAGGGAGGGGGCAGAACATCTCTCACTCCTGCCTCAGGAGGCTGGGATTTCTCTTCTCAGCTGGGGTCTAGTCACATCCCATTGCCTTTAAAATAACATTTTGGGCACACTGTACCCCCGTTCTAGGCCTGAGCAAATTAGTTTTGGTGAAGTGACTTGCCCAAGGTCACAGGTAGTGACTCAGATTTAGGCCTGTTGGATTGCAAAGCCAGTGTGGGTTGTTCTCCATCCTTCCACCTGGTCTCCCACCTCCCGTTACCCATTTGGAAATTATCCCCACTCATTCCTGAGAAATCTAGTAAACCCTTCAGAAAACGTGAGGGGTGATTCGGCAAGTGCTCCTGCCACCTCACCCAGGACGACTTCCCGCTGTAGGTGCTGATGGTGCGCTTTGCATCGCTGTTCAACGTGAAGGACCAGACAGTGATGTTCCTGAGCCGCACCACCTACAGCCTGCAGGAGCTCAGCGCCATGGGCATGGGCGACCTGCTCAATGCCATGTTCGACTTCAGCGAGAAGCTCAACTCCCTGGCGCTGACGGAGGAGGAGCTGGGCCTCTTCACCGCGGTGGTGCTTGTCTCTGCGGGTAAGTCAAGCTTTCGCCTGAGCCTGACCCCGGGGAGGAGGCGGACGCAGTTCAGTTGAACACACCTTTTATGGAGTACCTACTCTATGCCAGGCCCTGCACTGGGCACTGGCGATACAGACATGGTTCAGACACAGTCTAGCTTGGGAGACAGACTCATGCCCGACTAATTATAAAACAGTGAAATAAGTGTCACAGTAGAAGCATGAACCAAGGGCTTAGGAAGCACACACAACTATTTCTGCCTGGGGAGCAGGGGACGGAGGTGACACTGGAGTGGGGCGTCAAAGGACAAGTGAGCTATTGCCAGGCAGGGTGGGGGTGGGGGTGGAGGAGTGGGGGTGGGGGAGGCATTCAAGCAGAGGGAACTACCGAGCAAAAAGCAAGGGAGCCTGGATAGGTTTGGCCTGTTTAGGGAAGGAGAGCGGCCTTGTGGGCTGGGAGGTGCCCAGCCCTGCTGAGCCCATGCTCCCAGCTCTCGGGCACCTCCTGCTCTGGGGCAGAGGCCTGGGGGGAGGACTTGTGCTTCCCTCCTCCTCCTTCCCCTGGGCCCTCTGAGGGGCTTCAGGGAGAGGCTGCATTGCCCGCTGCATCCTCCTGGCAGACCTCGGGGGGCTCCTGGCAGACCTCGGGGGGCTCCTGGCAGACCTCGGGGTCCTCCTGGCAGACCTCGGGGGGCTCCTGGCAGACCTCGAGGGGCTCCTGGCAGACCTCGGGGGGCTCCTGGCAGACCTCGGGGGGCTCCTGGCAGACCTCGGGGTCCTCGTCAGAGGAGCTCAGGGAGCTCGTCTCACTGCTGTCGTCTTCCCCACAGACCGCTCGGGCACGGAGAATTCCGCTTCGGTGGAGCAGCTCCAGGAGACGCTGCTGCGGGCTCTTCGGGCTCTGGTGCTGAAGAACCGGCCCTCGGAGACTTCCCGCTTCACCAAGCTGCTGCTCAAGCTGCCGGACCTGCGGACCCTGAACAACATGCATTCCGAGAAGCTGCTGTCCTTCCGGGTGGACGCCCAGTGACCCGCCCGGCCGGCCTTCTGCCGCTGCCCCCTTGTACAGAATCGAACTCTGCACTTCTCTCTCCTTTACGAGACGAAAAGGAAAAGCAAACCAGAATCTTATTTATATTGTTATAAAATATTCCAAGATGAGCCTCTGGCCCCCGCCCCCCCGAGCCTTCTTGTAAATATCTGCCTCCCTCCCCCATCACTGAACCTCCCGCCCCCCCCTATTTAAACCACTCTCTCCCCTCTAATTCTCTAGCCCCCCAATTTGTTCTATTCCTGTCTCAAATCCAATAGTTCACAGCTGAGCTGGCTCCTGTGGTGTGTGCTTGTTGGGGGCGGGGTGGGGAGGAAATAATGCCAAGGCTGGGGCACACCTCCATCTGGTCAGTCTGTGGGGTGGGTACTCTGCCAGCAGATGGGAGGGCACAGGGAAACAGCACACAAGTCTAAGGGGGCGCCCACGGGGGTTATTTTCATCATATATTTATTACATAAATATATAGTAAAATAGACGAGCAACAATTACCATAAAAATATCTTTCTTTAAAATCCTGACCCAAAACACAACGGGGTGAAAAATCGCACATACACAGACATACTGATTGTCAACATGGGGCAGGAGTAGGAGCC